CTGTTTCAAAGAAGTCAGTGAATGTTACTTATGCTGATTCATAGAAATGGATGAATATAACTTTTACAGAGGATACAATCCAGAATGTCAGTGAGCTGGCACCTTTCCTAGCAGAGATGTAGGCTGTGAGAAGACAGAGAACTTGGCAAAAGTGTTTATAGGTTAGATGTCATTTTGGGGAGCTCCTTCTGCAGACTTGGTTGGTTCTGGAAGTTCCTGTTGCACCAGTGTGGGATGGCTGTGGTCTCTTTTATTGCTCATATCTCATGAACAAAACTCCTCCAACTTTACAGAAGCTGCCCAAATCACTTTTAGAAACAACAAAATATGGTGCGATAACTCCCCCAGGTGGTTGTCCACCAGGTGAACCCAGGCTATGCAGGGCCTGAACAGGTAAAAGGGGATAAAAGGATTATAACAGCGAAAGATCTGGCAGAGGTTAGAAGTGTTGAATTCTGTGGATTGCAAGCATGTTTGTGTGAGTTCCTTTTACAAATGTGAATTGTTGTGATTCTTAATAATAACTTAAAATATCCATCTTAGATATGCAAGATTGTTTTTGGCATCAGTGGTAACCATTGTTCTCTAGATCCATGAGGAAATTACCTCAACTGAACAAACTATCAGGGACAAGGCAGAGAGTGTAAGAGAATGATGTGTAATGATGGCTGAGAGTCAGTAAGTCAGGGTCCCATTCTTGTTCTGGCCTTAAGCAAGTCACTTCACTCTCAATTTTATGGTAAAACAGGAGAAATAATTCTAGTTCTTCTTACCTGGTGTAGCAATTGTAAGAGTCAAATGAGGTCATTTATGTGAAAATGAACTAAAATGTAAAGCCATATATTTAGGTCCTTAGCAAGCCTAAATAATACCTTTGTATGGATTGGAAGAAAAGCCCCTTTCTGAGCGTGGGGTAAACTCTGTGCTAGTTCGTATAATTTGGGGAGCAGAGCATGGGTTACGCCCCATGCTCTCTACTTACCCCCTTGGCTGGCCATGCTTGAGCAGAGGGCATAACCCTCAGAACTATGTCTGCAAGTAGAGTTGCAGAGTTGCACTATGTAATACCATAAGGAAGCATTCACTATCAAGATGTTTGCTGAATGTATTTAATAGGCTAGATCCCTTTGTGTTTGGTGGGTCAGGGTTACCTGATGCTATGTTCTGCATACAACTGAGCACTCTGGTATCCTAATAGGGGTCAGTTTACACATTGGGTCATCTCAAATAACATGCCCGTATCTGAAAAAAAAAATTTCCCCACTGCCCCCAGCTGCCCCTGTCCTAGACTTTTGTGTATCTGGTGGACATGTGAGTGACAAAAACCCTGGAAAAAAAGCTAATGGCTTATTTGGAACCCACAGCAGAGTTGGATTCCTTATTAATAAAACATTGTTCAGCATCTTTACCTTTTTTTTGTTTCCATGTCTCCCATGCTAAGGAACTCTTCATAGCTGGAGAGCCTCAGCCTAAGGCTGAGCTGGATGCTTATAGCCAGTCAACTGTCACTGTGCAGAAGAAATTGCAACTACTTCCCTATGTGCACAGTGTAGCAAGACCCCTGGACATTACTAATTCTTTTAAACCAGCAGTTCTCACCCACGTCACGAGAGCCAACCTTTCACAGCAAACATATTATATGTTCTTTTTATTATCTTGAGTGTAATTCATAGATAAAATAACACGTTTACACACACAATCCCAGGCAATCCATTTTCAGAGTTTGAACACTTAAAATCATTGTTCCAACAATTCTTTTCTGCATTATCAGTTTTTCCTCTCTATTTGATCTTTATGATCAATAAACAAGCTGTTATTTTTCCATCTTAAAAAAAAGGTAAAAAAACAACTTTCTTTTGACACTCACTCTCATTCCTTCTCATGACTTTAGATACCTAGTCATATGTTGATGTATCCCAAATTTGTATCTCCACCCAGACTCTTCTGAACTCCAGACTCCTATATTCACTCTATTCAATTGCCATTTGACCTCTCAACTTGAAGTTTTAGTAGACATGTTGAACTTAACATCAACACAGGGTGGGGTGGGGTGGGAGAAGACTGAAAAGATATAAACCAAAATGTGAATGACAATCTTAATGAGGGCATTGTGTATGTATATTTGTGTGTTTCTCTATACTATTAAGTAAAACTTCTATAAGGAGCATTAACACTTAAAAAACTTTTTTATTTTGAAATAATTATTGATTCAGAGGAAGTTGCAAAGATAATGCACAAAAGTCCCATGTATCTTTCACCTAGTTTCCCTAGTGATTGCATCTTACCTACATACAGTATAATATCAAAACCAGGAAATTGACATCAGCATCATGTGTTTGTATGTGTATGTATGTGTGTGTGTAGCACTGTGCCATTTTATTTCATGTGTAGATTCATGTCACCACCACTGCAATCAAGACACAGAATTATTTCATCACTACAAAGATGTCCCTTGTGGTACCTCTTTATGGTCACACCTGTATCCCTAAGCCCACCATCCTAACCCCTGGCAACCACTACTGTGTTCTCTATGTCATATAAATGGAATCATACAGTACATGACCATTTGATATTATTATTTTTTATTCAGTATAATGCCCTTGGGATCCATCTATGTTGTTGTGTGTGTCAGTAGGTCACTCTTCTTTGTTGCTGAGTGATATTCCATGCTATACAGGCACCACTGTTTGTTTAGCTCTTCACCTACTGAAGGATATTTGGGCTGTTTCCAGTTTGGGGCTAATATGAATAAAACTGCTATTAACATTCATGTATAGGCTTTTGTGTTTACTTATATTTTTGTTTCTCTTGGATAAACGCATAGGAGTATAATTGCTGGATTGTACGATAAGCATATATTTAGTATTTTAAGAATCTGCCAACCTATTTTCTAAGATGACTGGATCATTTTAAATTCCCACCTGTAATGTTTGAGAGATCCAGTTTCTCTGCATCCTTACCAGTGTTTGTTATTGTTACTTTTCTTTTTTTAATATTAGCCTTTCTGATGAATGTTTAGTGATATCTCCCCATTACAGATATCTAAAGTTCTTCCTCCGCAGTCTTGTCCCCTCTTGTGCTCTGCCCTGTAAACTCTAGTTGTGTTGGCCTCCTTGAACTCCCAATCTACTTCCTCAACTGAGGGAGACTGATAGACTCTGCCTGGGTTTCCTCTCTCTGTATCGCATGGCCTAGAAACTGTAGGGCATAAGCCCATTTTGTTTGTTTCCCATCTCTCAGCGATCGCCGTCCTTCATTGCCTGTTGTCCAATGTCTTGAAAATCTGTTGTTTCATATAATTTGTTCATTTTTACAGGAGTTCTAGGCAAAATCCAGTTGCCGTTATTCCATCTTGACCACAGTGGAAGTCTATATTTTAGAGTAATTTACACTGAGAAATAGTGCTTATGCTTAGAGTCTAAATCTTAAATGGCTTTATTGTCAGTCTTCTAATCAGAGTATCTGTTCTGTCTCTACCTCTATATCTATCTATCTATCTATCTATTTATCTATCATCTATCTATATCTTCATAAATTTTGCTTAACTAGAAGTCAGGAGTTCTACTATCAGGACTGCCATTATTTATCTATAGCATCTGAGACATTAAACCCTTTGAGTCACTTTCTTTATTCATAAAATGAGCATCAGTCTACATGAGCCTTAATGCCTACTCTGAGATTCTAGGATATTGTTTGACTTCTAGAGATAATGAGCAATGCTGATAGCTGCAGTCCTTAATGTGTGTTATTTCTACATAGGAAAATGACATTGCTAGAGTAATGAGCATGTGTTGGTAATTGCTATGTAATAGCAATAATGATAACAACAACAATAGCTAATACGTTTATCCTTTTACATGCAGTGTCTTATATCATATTCACAACATCCCTATGAGGTAAGAGCTATTATTATTCAAATTTAAAAGATGAGAAAACTGTAGCCTAGAAGAGGAAAAAGCAAAAATAGAAACCTGTCCAGTCTAAAGTTTATACTGAGATCACACATATAGGTCTTTTTTCTATATTTAGTCAATTTTGTTAATTTCAAACAATCTCTAATAGTAACAAAAACACCCCGATTATAAAGAAGTAGGTAATGTGTCTTATCACTACAGCTAC